GGAGGAGGAGGAGGAGGAAACATACCTCACAGATAAGGAGAAACGTAATGTAGATAAGAAGAGGAGGAAGTAGATAACAAAAAAGAGAAGATGGAGGAGGAGGAAATAGGTAACAAGAAAGAGAAGACAGAATAAAAAACATAAGGTAGATAAGAAGAGGAGGAAGAGGAAGCATATAACAAGGAAGAGAAGATGGAGGAAGAGGAGGAGGAAATAGGTAATAAGAAAGAGAAGACAAATAAGGAAGAAAAGACAGATAATAAGAAATATAGATAAGATAGAAGAGGAGGAGGAGGAAGTATATAACAAGGAAGAGAAGATGGAAGAGGAGGAGGAAGGCAACAAGAAAGGAGACAGATAAGGAGGAGAAGACAGTTAATAAGAAACATATAGACAAGAAGGAGCAGATAGAGGAGGAGGAGGAAATATATAACAAGAAAGAGAAGATAGAGAAGGAGAAGACAGATAATAAGAAACATAAGGTAGCTAAGAAGGAGATGATACATCATGAGAAGGCCCCATACCTTGTACCATGGGCTGGTCTGGCTTAAAAGCAGGAGCCAAGCAGGGCGCCCTCTTTGATGGAGCTTCAGAAGTTCGCCACAAGTCCTTCCGCTCACCGGTATCTGGAAAAGTGAACTATAAATCTAAATAAATCAGGGAACCTCCTTCCTCTATTCAAGGTGATGCTACGGACGCTTTGGATCTGTGGGGCATCAACCTTCTCCACCCAACTCCAGCTCAACTTCGAGAAATTGGGATGATGATCGGGAAGGGTTGGCGGGAGGCGTCTTCCCTTACCCAGATACCCACAACGGCCCAGCCACGTGTGGGACAGCTGGAGGGCTAAAGCAGCGTTGGACCGTTGATGGTCACCAGCTAAGCCGAGTTGAAGGAGCTTGTTGTCGTCTTCAAAGGCATCCAGGTCAGGGCAGAGAAAAAGCGGGCACTGCAGAAGAGAAAGGAGACCCGAGAATGATTTTGCTCCGTAGAATAAAAGCTCCGCCGGCAGCCTGAAACCCAGGGGCTGGACTAGAAGACCTCCAAGGTCCCTTCCAGCTCAACCTTGAAGACGGTCGGGACTGAACTCCTGGCAGTAAGCAGAATTAAGGCTGCAGTACTGCATTCTAACCACTGCACCGCCATGGCAGAGTAAGAGTTGGAAGGGGCCTTCTAGTCCAACCCTTGCTCAAGCAGAAGATCCCACACCTCTTCAGACAAATGGTTATCCAACATCTTTTTTAAAAATGTCCAGTGTTGGAGCATTCACAACTTCTGCTGGCAAGCAGTTCCACTGGTTAATTGTCCTCACTGTCAGGAAATTTCTCTAGAGTTCTAGGTTGCTTCTCTCCTTGGTTAGTTTCCATCCATTGTGTCTTGTCTTCTGCAGAAAGGCAATTATTTGCGTGTGTGTGTCTTCATTAGCTTGTCTTAAATGTCACTTTACATCAGAGGTCTCCAATTTTGGCCAAGACTTGTGGCCTTCAGCTCCCAGAACGTGCTGTGCTGGTTGGGATATTCTGGGAGTTGAAGTCCACAAGTCTTCAGGGAGACCCCTGATCTACATGGAAGATCGAAGTCCTGGGAAAGTAGATTCAACAGCTCTAGAGAGATACAGTAAGGAACTAATGTATCTGTAATAATACGCCTGACCACAGCAGCAAGATTAGTTTATACTCAAAAGTAGAGAGTTAAGGAAATTCCTGATGAAACCAAGATAATTAATAAGAGACGGATATGCACCGAAATGGATTAACTAATGTTGGAAATAAAAAATAAGGATGAGACTGAATACTATAAAATATGGGACAAGTTTTACCAATGGTGGGGAAAAAAGGACGGACATTAAAATTAAAATAAGATAAGGATGTTAAGATAGATTAGAAATATGGAAAATTGCTGTAATGTATAAATGCATATATTGTGTAAATTTGTATTATATGTTATCCACAATAGATATGTATGACAAATAGGTTTGTCAGGATGATTTCATCATGTTCGTTGTTTTTAATGTTTTTGTTCAATAAACAATTTTAACAATTTAAAAAAAACAGCTCTGGACTCAAATACTTGATTTTATTCGTGACTTGAATTTTCAATAGATCTGCCAATTCTTCCTTTTGTCTTGATAACATATTCTGTGTCAAAATCTTTGTCTTATCTTTGTTTATTTTCAAACCAGCCACTTTGCCATATGCCTCTATCTTTTCCAATAATTTTGGTGCTGTTTCTAAAGGGTCTTCTAAGATAAAAACCAAATCATCCGCAAAAGCTTGCAGCTTTTTAATTTTCATTCCTTTTATACTCTTTTCATCTCTAATATTTCTGTTTAACACTTCCAAAGTTAACACGAATAGCAAAGGTGATAGTGGGCACCCTTGTCTTGTTCCTTTTCTTATATTGATAGAGTCTGTCAATTCTCCCTCTATCATTACCTTCACATTTTCTTATCCTATAATATATAAAAAGGAACAAACAGTTAGATATGGGGAAATATTGAATGGAAAGGGTGAACTTAAATCTATGCAAAAACTAGAGGAACAAGGTATAAACATGAATTGGTTTTCATATGCGCAAATATATTCAAGGTATGATAAAGATTTTAAAACAGAAGGTTTCTATGATAAATTGACTGATTTAGATAAGATTTTGACAGGTACTGATGAAAAGGTGATTAAAAAACTGTATGGATATTTATTAGAAATTAAAGAACAAGTTAAAGAAGCTATGATTGCTTGGGGGAAGAACTTTGGATATGGGATTGATTTAGAGAAATGGCAAAAATTGTGGTCTCAAAATTATAAAATGACAATGTCAACAGTTTATAAAGAAAATTTGTATAAGATGTTTTACAGGTGGCATTTTCCCCCCGACAAGAATAGCAAGAATGTTCAAGAATAAATCCGAAAAATGTTGGAAATGTCATCAGACACCTGGCTCATATTACCATGTGTGGTGGACTTGTGCGGACGCTAAAAAATATTGGACTAAAATCCACATGTGGTTGGAAAAAATGACAAAAAACATATAGATTTGAAACCAGAGATATTTTTATTGGGAATTTTATCTGAAACATATAGCAAAGATTTGAAATACCTGACTGTAGATGTATTAACAGCGGCTAGGATTGTATTTGCTAAAAACTGGAAAAATGAGAAAATACCATCATAGGAGGAAATCATTAAGAAAATATTGGAATGTGCTGAAATGAGTAGATTGACATTTGAAATTAGAGAACAAGAGGATGAACAACTTTATAAAATTTGGGACCTTTTCTATCAATGGTTAGATAATAAAATACAGTAAAGAAATATGTAGATTTTTAGAAAATAATAAATATATAAAGATGTACTTCTTTTTTATTATATCTACAAAATGTTTTTAGGATAGATTTGGGAGGGTAATATGAATGGTTATAAAATAAACTAAGTAAATTATGGTTATCTCGTAAAATATGAATGAATAAAACTACAGTCAAATGATTGATTAATAATGATACTAGGGTATTTAATTTTTGATTTGATAATATGAGCTTTTATGTAATGTAACTGTAATTGAAGACTATGAAATGGATGCACAAAATAATTTGTAAACCAACCGGCACACTGTTTGTATACCTATGGAAGAAAGTTTGATGTTTTTATGTTTTGTTTGTTTATGTTTGTTTTTAAAAACCAATAAAATTTACCAAAAAAACCCAAAAACCCAGCTCTGGACTGTCTAACTTTGTGTGTTAAGTTGTCCATTGTGTAGCTTCCACCACCAGCAGCTACTTCAGGGCTCGGTCTTCCACGAAAATCTTCTAGAAGAAAATTGGGGGGTGTTTCAAGGAAATCTTACCTGGCATTCTTCAGCTCTTTGTTTCAGGACTTCTAACGGTCTTTCCGGCTGCGGAACCGTGAACGCTGGCACACTGGGCTAAAAGGCAGATCAGGACATTCAGATAATATTATAAGTGCTTTCTTAACGCCAAGTGAGACTTGCAAAAATGTTGGGTTTTTCTGGAACTCTGACAGCTACTTCTGCTGACTATTGGCTGCCGGCAGTTCAATTCTCACGAGGCTCAAGGTTGACCTCAGCCTTCCATCCTTCCGAGGTGGATAAAATGAGGACCCAGATGGTTGCGGAGCGGGGTGGCAAGAGGCTGACTCTGTAAACCACTTTAGAGAGGGCTGGGAAGCGGTATATAATCTAAGGGCTATTGCTATCCACTTCCTCCAGCCGTAAGTGTGAAAAACAGTCAAAAGTCACTTTTTTCAGTGCCGTTGTAACTTCAGTCACTAAATGAACTGTTGTAAGTCAAGGACTACTTGTATCATCATCATCATCATCATCAACTCCTTTTAACAACCCCATAATCCCTTGTGGGGTGGAGTCTGGGCCACTGAACGGAGCTGAGTGTTTACTGGCCGGATGCCCTACCTGTTGCCAGGGTGGAGTTTTGTTTCAGCAGAGATATTCTCATCGTGCCCAGAGAGAGAAATATCTGCCTCTACCTGGGATTGAACTCACAGCCTCCCGATTTGTGAGGCGAGAGCTCCCCGTCTCTAGGCCACCGCGCCACTCCAAGGACTACTTGTGTATTATTGCAAAAAGCAGTTTGCGGTCCACCATGAACACAAAACTTGCAAATGATGTACAGGAAGCTTTTAGTTCTTAAAAAAAATGAAGCCAGGGTCAAAACTGCTTATTTAAATTTAGAAGGATTTTCTTTCTGGAGAGCCAAGGGGTCTCCAAGGTTTCTCATCAAGCTGCCGACATCCATCTTAATAACATGAAGGCGGAGGGAGAAGATCCCTCCAAAGATCTACCTTGAAGATGCCGCCTTTCTGCCAAGCTATCTTCTCAATGGTGTCTCCCAAGATGCTGGTATGGTCAATGCCCAAGGAGGAGACCCCACAGACTATTGGTTTCCTACCAAGAAGACAAAGACAAGGAGAAGAAGACCAATCAATCGAACGATCAAAATAGAGCTGGATTTTGGAGATCATCTAGTCCAGCTCAAGCAGGAGATCCTATACTCATTTCAGACAAAGGGTTTTTCTTAAAAACCTCGAGTGATGGAGCACGCGCTGTCAACTCATAAAATATTTCTATGGTCTCCAGGAAGGGAGAGGGAGAAAGGGGTTTGCTTGGAAATCGAAAGTGCATCCCATAAATAGTTTTTCAAAGATAGTAACAACTAGGTGACTGAAGTTTCTGCCGTGCAAAAATCTAACTGGAGTGTATGATGACTCTGGGCTATGGATGTGTCCCGTTGGAGAATATGAATTAGGATACACCCAGAGAAGTGGGGGGGAAACCAGGGTCGAGGGTGACAATGAATGACGTGCCTCAGAGTCAGCTACACCCAGGCAGTGCCGGACATGGTAACTCCCAATAAATCCTTTTGAAGTTTTGGAAGTTTGGCTCGAGATTTAATTGAAATCAAACTGTTCTACAGGTTAATTGTCCTCACTGTTAGGAAATTCCTCAATTCCAGGTTGCTTCTCTCCTTGATTAGTTTCCATCGGTTGTTTCTTGTCTGGCCTTCTGGTGCTTTGGAAAATAAATTGACCCCCTCCTCTTTGGGGCAGCCCCTCAAATACTGGAATGCTGCTATCATGTCACCCCTAGTCCTTCTTTTCTTTAGATTAGCCAAACCCAAATCCTGCAGCCGTTCTTCATATGTTTTAGTCTGCAGGCCTTTGATCCTCTTAGTTGCTCTTCTCTGCACTTGTTCCAAAGTCTCAACATCTTTTCTGTAATGTGGTGACCCAAACTGGATGCACTATTCCAGGTGTGGCCTTACTAAGGCATTATAAAGTGGTACTAATACTTTCACTCTCCGAGAAAGGAAAGCGAGACTTTTGAAGGCCATCAAGAGAAGAACAGATGTCCACCAAACACAACCGTTTCTGAAGAACCCATTTGAGGGCTAGTGATGAAGTACCCAGGAGTTCGACCCCCTTACCTGACAATGTTTGTGCAATCGTAGGCGCCCCCAATGCCGACTTCTATAACCGCCAAGTCAACCTGGGAAGAAGATAGAAAATAGCTCATGGTCTCATTGACCCAAGAGGGTTTTGGTCTTCCAGATCGTAGATCCTAGCCACCCTCCATGGATGGGTTTGCCTGGCTGACTGCGGATATGGGCATTGCACAGTCATATTTTGGTCTTCAAGAATGAGCTGATTTATTTAAAACCCAACCAGGGTCCATTCAGACAGAGCCACGAGAGATTTTATAGAGTTGACTTCTCTATTTTTAGATCTTCTAAAGTTTGGACCATCCAAACTGTGTCTCTATCAAGAGAACTACACAGAAGCATCGAGTTTGGGTTCAATTCAATTTGGGGTTGAGGTTGTCCAGTGTGGATTCTCTGCGAATCTCCAGATGTTGGACTCTGCAGATCATCAACATCTGGACAATCGCCTATTGTTCTGACCCAAACCTTGTTCCAAGGAAACAAACACGAAACAGAGGTAACAGCAAAACCTTTTAATGTTTCTTTACGAATTCCGTTCCTTCCCGGTTAAAAGGCTGTTTCAAACTAATTGTCTTTGATAAGAACGAGCCTTGCCAAGGTTGTGCAAGGCTGCCAAGAACACTAGATAAAGTTACTAAGAAATATTTCAAACACAAAGAGTCTCCAAACACCAACCAAGATACTCCGAACATCCACAAGGCTTGAAGGGCAAGAACTTCTTTGCTTCCTGCAAAGAACTCCGGTTTCTCAGCTGGCTTTTATCTCTTAAGGAAGGGGCCATTACCTTGCAGCCTTACTCCCGAGTCACCCGTGCTGCTGCAGCTGCTCTTTCCTTCAAGCAACCCTGCGCGCATGCAAGTTGGGCACAGGCTCCTCGGGGGCCTCTTCCTCACTGCTGCCAGCCTCCACAATCTCCAAAGGCAGCCTTCCACTCCCTGATGGTCCTGGCCCCATCCCTGCCCCACATGCAGGCCCCTCATCTGAGTCCTTGTCCTCCGAGACCTCAGCTGTCCACACCTGCTGCCAGCGAACCACAACACCTATCTTACCCAAACACGTCTATCTTTCCCAATTTCATAAAAGGTACCTTTGAGGTCCAACGTACCTTCTCCTGCAGGAAGACATGGAAAGCCATGATTGTAAGGAACCGGAAGTAGGCAGGCATGGAAGCGTGATGGGAGTCCTGAGAAGATCAACAAAGGGGTTTAGGAGGATCCGAATCTGAGCAATGGACAATTAAGGTCTCAAACCCACATTCCACTGGTCACTATCAAAATCTAGGTTCTGTCCCAATATAAAATGTTTTACAGATGGCGTCTTCCTCCAACTAGATTGGCCAAAATGACTAAAAGTATATCACCGCATTGTTGAAAATGTAACCTAGAGATAGGGACCTATTATCACATGTGGTGGAAATGTATAAAAGCAAAAAAATACTGGTGGAAAATAAAGGTTCGGATAGAAGAGATGGTTAACCCGAAAGTAGAGTTCAGACCAGAAACATTCTTACTGGGAATTATTAATAAGAAATACAGTAAAGGAACAATATATTTAATGTTACATATAATAACAGCTGTGAGATTGGTGTATGCCCCAAACTGGAAGAATAAAGATACCCCTACAGAAAGTGAAATAATAAGGAAAATATTAGTCTGTGCAGAGATGGACAGACTAACTTTAGAAATCAAGGATAAGGGTGAGACAGGAGTATTGTGAAGTTTGGAGTAAAATGTATCAATGGCTGGAGTCAAGGAAAAAAGAAAGAAAGGGTTGACGCTTTATAGGAATGAAAGTTAAAAGTTTTGTAAATCAAAGAGAATGGAATAAAATGGACAAATACGAGATGATACGGATGTATTATCTAAAAGATGGTTGTAAATATGTATATAATTGTATATAAATGTAAGTAGAAATAATATGCAGCTAGCACTATATTAATAACATAAGGGGAAAAGGAAATTAACCGTATGTGTATCTCTACACTATAGCTTGTATGGCCAAAATAATGGTAAAGAAAGTCACACTGTGTTCAAATGTTGTTAATGTTTATTCAATAAAATGTATTAAAAATAAATAAAAATCTAGGTTCGGTCTAAATGAACCTCTTTTGATTTCTGGAATGTGCCTATCCTAAAGTCTTACAAATAGTTGAGCTTCTCATTTCTAAGCATGGAGATGGTGATATTTCTTTTTATCCACCAAGCCAGAAAGCTCAAGGCTGAAAAAATGGGAGGGAGCATTTTGCCTGTCTCTTCCTTCCAATTTCTTCGTCCCAACCCTACCATCTCATCACGGGCCATCTATGCCCATGCGTTTCTTAAGAGAGAGCTCCTCACCAGGTGACGCCAAAGCATACCTTAGTCTCCTCCAATCGGTTGTACACCTGCCAGAAATATTTGCTAAACAGCTCTTGGCTGATGGGCTGGCCGTTAATGCGAATCCTCTCGCGGACTTGAACCAGATGGGGTGAACTTGGGGGAAAGAAACCAGACAGCCAGGATTACTTAGATCAAATTATGAACGGCCACCACGCCAGGGTCGAACACGGAAATCCTAGACCGGTGAAGATATTTGTCAAATGTAATAAAGTTAGGAAAACTCCGCCAATCACCACTCAGCCAGTTTCGAAAGCAGGATTTTACAATAGACGGAATTCTGTTTACCTGCTAGAAATCAAATGAGGATTAATAACAATTCAAGGTCCAATTCATGCGGTTTGGACTTTGATTTTTAAAAGGAAGCAGAGCTTTTTAAGTGCGTAGTCCTCTGCTTGCATTTTATTCCCTTTTTTTTTTTAAGAGAGATTGTGCCAGCTGAGACCAAAGGCCTGCTTGGCCAGGCACCCTCATTCACCAGCTTGGGGGAAAAAAATTCAAGAGTGCCAGGAAACCGGAAAAAGTTTCCAGAGACATAACTGCAACAACTGTGCAAAATGGTGTTTTCTTTTCGGCTATAATATTAGAAGTGGCTTTTTATGTTTGCATCAGCTGGACAATTGATGGAGGTTTTTAAAAGTGAACAAACAAGTGAAACAAAAATAAGACAAAAGGAGGAGGA